AAGCGGGCACAGAAATTTGAAGAGTCTCGATTCTTATAAAGCAGCATCCGCTGACCATCAGTGGAAAAAGTCCTTAATTTTAAGCTGCTCCAGTCAAGAAAGTACTCAGACATTGGCAGTAAGTGTCCATGAGAACACCACTTTGCTGGTGAATCTTCCCAAAGATGTCAGTAAATCAGGAGTTTTTTCAGGCGCTTGCATCGGGAAAATTGAAGGCTGCACCTTCACGTTCAACATAGCCTGTGAAAATGAAGAAAGCCCAAAGTCCGCAAAGCCCAAGAAAAGAAGAATCAGCATCAGTGATGATTCTGATTCTGATTCTGATTCTGATTAGTTAACTGAACTTAATCCGCTGTCTTCTGAAAATATTTTCCTTTGGATCCTTTCACTTTTTTTATTGAAGATTTCATCATTGCAGAGCCATTTAGCTTGAATTTGTTTGCCACACTGACAACCAGAACTGTTGTTTGTTAAAAAATGCACATGTGATTTGTCCCTACGCGCTCTTAAATTGACAGGTGTCAGATCGTGAGATACATTTAAAAGAATGTTTCAAAGTTTTCTTGGAAGCCTCTTAAATAGCATTTTAGTATCATTACCCAAATAACTGTTTTGATGAAACCTCTCTCTTTCATTTGCATTGCCCTTGTTTTCTCTACCATCTACTTGCTCATAAATTATTCCATTTATGGAGAATCTTGCAGTAATTACAGCCCTTCATTATTCAGGTTCTTTTTGCGACCATTTGTTAGGTTTTAGACAAAAAATAAAAATGTTATTCACCAGCCAAGGCCAGTCCGAATTGGGAAAAACTGTGCCCTCTGTCTTGTGTACCGCCCGAGGTCACAGTTTTTCCCAATACGGACCTCCGGTCTGGTGAATAACATATATTTGCTAAGCTTAAGCCTTAATTAGCTTACATGTATCAGTAACTTTGCAATTCCTGAAACTGCATATTCCTAAGAATATATAAGTAAGTCTTCTTGTCATAGCCTGCGAGCTCGCAAGAATTTATTTGTGACCATCTGTTACTAATTTTGCTTTCCCTAAGTTGTACTTGTGGAGACAATTTTTTGAACAGATATTCTGGCAGAGCTCATCACCATTTTCTCTGGATTATTTGGGAAGCTAATTTGATTTACAATATTTTTCGAATAATTTTTTTAACTCCCCATACAAATTGTAAGAATCACAAGCATTTTACTGCCAACATTTGAGGGTAGCCTAGAGTCACATTTTTACCTTTTAGGGGTGCTAGATTTGTAGCACGTAAAATCATCACATTCTTTGTACTTCTTAATTCAACCTCATCTAACGTGTATGTTAGGGTTTAGCTTACCCCACACACATCCTCTGGTGATAGCATACCTAATGGTAATTGGGTTGGTGAATTAGCTGAGCCAGTGAATAGTAATGAATGATTATCCTCTGGTAGTTAATGTGTTGCTAAACACCACAGGGTCTCTACAAGATAAGCCATTCAAATATCTCGTTTCATGAAAGTTACTTTTAGTATCTTTTTTCTCTGGTTATCAATTACATGCATCTCGCCCTAGGTGAAACAGGTTATGGCCAAGAACAAAATATACAAGGGGTGAAGTCCAAATGTGGAGCAGTATTTAAATAGTTGTGGCTAATTGCGCCAAATCTTGCTGCTGGAGCGAGACTTGCAGCCAAAAATGAGAGTCAGGCTCTGGACGAGCAGACTTCCAGAACATACGAGCTATGGCTCATCGCACTGGAGCAGTTTGTGGCACAGAACGGAAATGATGCCATTCTTTTCAGCCCAAACAAAAGGCCCTTTTTAGCGGCCACATTGCAAACCTTCATGGGTAAGTATTACTTTTCAGTACCGATCTAGTAATTACAGTAATCGCAAGTTTCAAATTCTCCAATGCACATTTGGTTATGTAGACGTTCTTTAAAGAACTATTTGATCAACGCTGTTTAATTCGTATGCAGTGTATTCCTTGGATATTTCGTTGATTATGACAAAATTAGCTGAAATAATCATGCTGTTATTGGTTTTTATTCGTGAGTAATGAGGCCGACGAATTTAGGCTCACTGGATGTGCAACTGAAACACGCGGTGACGTGTGAAATTTTAAGTTTTCAACTTTAAATGCAACTGTAATTTAAGATAAAAGTAGGTGTATTTACACTATTTTTAACTGACTTCCGTTCATAGAACAATGCCGAACAATTTCGTCTCATAAGTGATTATTTACACACATTAACATTACGCTTTGAAACCACAGTTTGCAATAACGCAAAACCTGGTAAAAGAACAGTAATAAAACACGATTGAAAAATGTGGTACATCTAATAGAGCCATAGGGTTAGACTTGGGTTGCTAAGGGTTAGACCGGACCACATATGGTATAAAAAGTATGGACTATAGCCTTTACCTTTATACCACATATTGTGTTAACGCAACACATGGTATAAAAAGTATGGACTATAGCCTTAACTTTTTATACCACATATTGCATTAATGCAATATATGGTATAAAAAGTAAAGCCTATGGCCCATACTTTTCAAACCACAGTTTGCAATAATGCAAAACCCGGTTAAAGAATAGAACTGAGACATTTTATCGCAATCGCAAAATGTGGTAAATCTCCTAGAGCCATAAATCGCGTTGACGCAATACATGGTATAAAAAGTGAAGGCTATATTTTGAAACTATAGTTTGCTGGTGAATGCATTGAAAGGCATTGTTTGAAATGCAAAGAAAAAAAATGTGCTTGTTTCACTTGCAGGGATTGTAATTAGACGCAGGAGAAAAAGGTCAATATGTGCTTTGTGTGGCATGTGTAGGCCAGGTTAACCATGTCCTCGGTCTGTTCAAGATGGTAACGACTTTACGAATTAACTGATCTAAGGAACTCTATGAACGCACTTGAAATAGGGAATGTTAACAATCTAACTGTTTACGAATGAGAAGGATTTTGCTCCTTATGAGAAATGCAAAAAGCTGCCACTCTTTTTTGAGGCCTTTCTGCAGGGAGACCAAAAGCCATGCGAACTTATGTTTTTTTCGGCATGAGAAATCTGCGAGCAATATTATTTTTGGTCTGTCAGTTTAAACATAAACGTGTTGTAAGATGGTAAGACAAGGAATATATGGTGTGGACGTCAGTTTAAACAAAATACTCTGGACTTCAAGAAACTTACAACTATAACCAATTAGATAAGAACTGTGCTAGTTTAGGCAAATGTGCAATGACATATATTCTCTATGTGCTTATAATAATCTTAAAACATTTTGTTTCAGAGGTAATGGGTGAAACAAAAGGGAAGAAAATTGGCACATTATGTTGTTGTGCGCTCAAGCCTCCTGTTATCAGGGGCTATGTAGCTGCCTTCAATTATTGGTTCTGTACGTTGGGCACACAGAGCAATACAGCGAAGCTATTGTTACTGCTGAAGGTGGCTCTCAACGAGTTATGCCAAAGGGAAATTCCATGTCGTCACCTGGTAGGTTATAAAATGATTCATGTATAGTCTTTCACATCAGCTTGATGCTATTAAAGATAAAAGGAAATACTCATTTCTCTTCCTGTTTTATTGACCATTTCCTTAATTTTCATGAGCTTAATGTTGTCTCTACTCTCTATGATATAGTTTACCCCTGAATGTTCTCTGCTTCTGACTGGTTTAATAATAGTTTGGCTGATAGCGTTCATCTGGGGAGGGCACTATCAGCCCATAGTACCTGTCAGAGGGTAATACCTGGATGGATAATGACCAAATGACCCTAAATTCACCTTCACTCTTTATGAGGATGCCAGAGGCCACATTTTGAAGAAAAAACAAACTGGTTGTGTGACTCTGAGATTCATGCAGGCAAGTTACTACTAAAAACAAAATTTCCTTTTGTGGATGGTCTGCATGACCCAGCTATTGCTGGTACATTGGTGGCCCCAGGGATTAGTGAGTTTGTGCAAATAATTAACACTGGCAACTATTGAGTATGCCTCAGTACCATTTCTTACAGGCCTGAAACCATCAATGTATATGACAAACTGTTTCAAAGAGTTAGCCCAATTGCCATCCGCCATTCTTGTTGCTTGCTCATGCATACTGGGGGTTCCATATTGTTTACAAATTAAAAGATTCAAAAGCAAATCAACTCAAGTGACTGTGGCTTGTTCGCACTAGCATTTGCAACAGATTTGCAAATGCATTTGCATTTGCAACTAGATTGCCCGAAGATCGTCTGCGTCTTATTGAACAAAATCATATTGTCAATGAGCTATTACTCTCTGTCCGCTCACAATATTACACCAAACTTATTGATGATAATTGCCTTAATCAGAGGAACCTGTTTGGCATTGTCGGTAAGTTGCTACATCGGAGTCCTTAGGTATATGTCTGCTGCAAGAATGGACCATAATGCAGACGGTCTCCTAATCAGGCAGTTAGTATTTCAGAAAAATTATAATACTTATGTTTTAGGGAACAAAGGAATTTCGTATTCTAGGTGTCAAGAAATCTTTTCGGAAGCTCTCAAGGCTCTAGGTTACGACTCCAAACTTTTTGGGTTACACAGTCTTAGGTCCAGTGGGGCAACTGCTGCCGTAAATTCACCTAGCGGCCCTGTATCAGACAGGTTATTAAAATTACACGGGCGGTGGAAATCCGATTACGCCAAAGACTTGTATATTCAAGAAGATATATCTGCACGGCTTTCAGTTTCATCTTGCCTAGGTATTTAATTGCTATCATTAAGTTTCCACGCGTGATGGGACACGCAAACGTTTTTGCTATCTTTTAGTTACAGCCTAGTTTGTATGATTATAATCAGTGCTTTCACTATAATTTAACCGTATCATATACGCATTTAACCGTATCATATACTCGTAACAGAGTCTGTACTGAGGACCAAAGAGCCGAATCCGCCGATTCCGACTTGTCGACTCCGCCGGACCCGGACAACACAAAGAACATCGCTTTTCCTGCGAACGGATGGGGTACATCCCTTGCCAAAGGCCCGATGTTTACTCGTGCAGAATTAGAGAAACATATAAGTGATTCTGGAAAAAAGCATCGACATGGTGAGCATCATTCGCTGCCCACAGGATTACAAAAAGCCAAGCAGTTTCTGGCTGATGAGTATTTGCATGAAATACAAACGCACTCTGATCAGAGGTATTTTTACTTCTGTGCTAAGTGTTTTCATAGTTTCAAGGTCAATGAAGCACTGCACAACTTAAAACTAGCACTCTGTATGGTGACAGGAAATGTGGAGTATGCCTACTGTGGGCCAAGTTGTGCTGCAGGTAAATCTGGTTTTTGCAATCACATTCTGGCTTTAATGATAAAAGTTTGCAAATACACTATTTATAATTGCAAAGATGTGCGAGATTTGAAGGATGAGGAGGATGAAAATCCAACCAGTGCATGCACATCAGCTTTGCAAAATTGGCACAAATCAAGACTAGAAGGTATCCGCTCCCAGCCTGTCATGGATGTGGTTGTTTCAAATCCTGCAAATAATGCTGAACATGTCAAAAAAACAGGAGTAACTTGTCTTCTGACAGAAGCAAGAAAGGGAGAAAGTGATCAGAAGAGGAAGCTTGAACAATTACTACATTCTCTTGAGCAGCATAGCTCAACCCTTGGCATAACTCAAGTGGTTGATCCCTCGAGTATTGATACATCACCTGTTGTTGACACTCGTTTTGGGCAATGCCCAGTTGGGTCATTTGGATTGTATCAGCTTTCCTTTACTGAATCGAACTTCACATTTGTAACCTTGTTTGATGGATTTGACTGTACAGAACACTGCACAACAAATGAATTCCCGGCCTACCCTTCGTTCCCATTGGATGATTTCTGCGGATCATTTCAGACCCCTGACAACCTCACTGTTAAAGAAATGGAACTGCTGAAGAGCTTGACTGTTGGTGTTATAGAGGCAAACAAAATGGAAGAGAAAACCAGAGAGCAAGCAAGTTGTGAGGAATGGATGCGAGAAAGAAAATTGAGATTCACTGCCTCTAATTTTGGAAAAATTTCTCGAAGACAGAGGAACCACACCAAATTTGTGGAAGATCTTTTAGCACAGAAGACATTTTCTTCAGCTGCTGTAGAACATGGCAAAAAGTATGAGCCGGTGGCACTGAAGGAATATGAGAAACATATGAGGAAAATGGGAAAACCTGTAAAAGTGTTAAAGAGTGGACTGTTTGTTTCTCCGAAGGTTCCAATTTTAGGATGTTCCCCAGATGCCAAAATCATTGACTTGAGCTGCAAAGACAGGTTTGGGCTTGGTGAGGTAAAATGCCCATCGTCGAAATTCCATGTGACTCCCCTCGAGGCTTGTGATGACCCTGGCTTCTTTATGGAAAACAAAAATGGGAAGCCATCTTTAAAAAGAAGCCATGTTTACTACGATCAGGTGCAAGGACTTATGGGCCTATCAGGGGTACCATGGTGTGACTTTATTGTTTACACTAGTAAAGGACTAAGTGTGGAGAGGATCAAGTTTGATCAGGACCACTGGAACAACTTATGTGGAAAACTATGTGACTATTATTTCAAGCACTTTCTTCCAGTTGCTGCTCTGTAAAACATAGCCAAAAAATACAAAGCAGTATGTTACAAATTTTATTGTCTAATGAATACTCATGATCTATTCATATGAAGTTAGTCGTGATCATAAATGTGTAAAGAAATCAAGACTACATTTGACTCAGATAATTGACGAACCCTCTCTAACTTACCGCTAACTCGAAGTAATTTACATTTTCCTTCAGGTCATTTTCTATATGATTTTTACCCTCGATAACTCAAATCATTGCTATTTCCCTGAGGGTTCAAGTAATCGGGAGCCAACTGTAGTTTTTTTTCTTTTTCTTTTTTTTTTTATAGAAACCAAATACCCTGACAAAGACAACTGGCCTTTTATCATAATTTATTGTAATAATAAAAAATACTGGCAAATATTTCAGTGTCAGTTGAGACTATTGAATAGAAAAATATTTGCAAAATTACTATATATTGGATTGCAATTTTGTAATCATAGCGCAAGTCTCTACGGTGTCTACATCACGTGGCAATGCACAATTTCAACAAACATCGTGCTGTTAATTAGCCCAAAAAGTTATTTTACAACTTACTTCTTGAAAATTTTACATACAAAATAAAAACTAAAAGGATAAGAATTGAATTAAAAAAATCATTTGCCAAGAGATTTCAACACCAGGGCCTTTTTCAGTTTTCCCTCAAACATAAATATTTTGCTATCAAAACAAGTTATGCACTTATGATACTGTTCTGAAAATTGCATAGCATGGCACATACCGCCCACATTTGGTTTACAACCCCAAACAGGGTGAACGGTACTACACTATCCCATATGTGAAAATTTTTAATTTTATTTATTGCCCTTTCAACATGAATCCGAACAGAAGCGATCGACTGTGTCTCAACAACTTCTGCTGCGCTCATTTGACCCTTGCTTCCCAAAAAAGGTGGAATATTTAGGGACACTCCAAGGGGTAGAAGGTCCTGAATAGTAAAGCCTTTATCGGCCATGACAGAATCTCCCCTATTAAAAGGCAGATTCAGAAATCCTGATCTTGTAACAATTTCCCTGTCAGAAATATGACCAGTGTATAGCTGGCTGATGAAGGTAATAGCACCTCCTGGTGAGATGCCAATCAAACCTTTAAGAGTTGTGTGGTTTTTGTAAGAACTAAAAAGTTCACTGTTAAGGCGTAGACTCTTGGGCATCTGGCATCGTACCTCAGTACAGTCAATAACGACCCTAGTTGAGGGGTATTTGTCTTTAAAGTCAGCAGGCATGCACAAATCCACTTTTGCTCTTGATGGCCACACTGGAATTACACTGAATTTTAAGAACATAAAATTTATCCATGAAATTATTATTCTGCTTACTGTTGTCTGTGAGACTCCATACAAGTGGCTTAAATGCTCCTCCTTGAACCCCTGCCTTAGTCTGCAAAGGGTCCAAAAGAATTCTTCCTTTGGGCTCAATTGGCGTGGCCTACCCTGCTTGGGAATATCTTCCTCATCCCTCTGACAGGGTGGGGAGGGGACATCACATGGTGAATCCGAGTGCCAGTAATTTATATTTTCCCCTTTCTTACCAGGATCTAAAAACGCGAAAACACTTTCTAAGACATTTTTGTTTGGGAACCCCGTATAAAAAGCGACATCCTTCTCCGAGGGCAAAAATTTCTCAATGCAGAACACTCTTGACTGCAAGGAATCGTTCCGGCGTTTAAGTTCCTCTACTTCCGACTGGAAATTGTTATTTGAAATAGTGATTTTACGGATTTCCCCGACAAGCCGTTCATTTTCAAGTTTAAGTTCGCAAATAAGAGCTTCCAGATCCTCAGCTGGTTCTTCTACTGTGGTGCTTGCCGAATCTGCTAGTGTTGATGGGGAGGAAGCGCGAGATTCTTGAAATGTCACTAGATCGCACGTGGAACAGTTGTCGACTCGTGCTGGCGCAATTGTCGTCTCCTGTGATTTTGTCGCGGTTTTTTTCAAAATCAGAGTTCTTTTCCTTGGTGATTTTCGCTTGATCGGCGAACCCTGCTTCCAAGGAAACAAAGATGGGACTGCCATGGATTTCAAACTCTTTTTACGGCCTGTGAGTGACGGTAGATAATCTGACGATTTGAAATGTCGCGAGCAAACTCTCGTGTGTTCTGTCACCTTGAAATCTTTACCCTCATCTCTTCGAATGGCAACGATCCACTTCATATATAAATCTCTATTTTCAGGAAACTTGTGGTAAGAGATCTTAATACCATCTTCTTCGTAAACTTTCTTAGTGCAGCCAGGGACACAGCAATTTTGCGGCATGATGCGCTTTTTCTTTGCCATTAATTTACATACGTAAACACGAGACTTGGCCCTCGATGCCTCGTTTTCATGCTATTCGATCCAGACTCTCATCGGCCGCCGCCATTTTGGAATTAGGAGTATGTATTGTGCAATGTACTAGCTTAATGAGGATATAGCTTCGCGTATCGTATTTCTGTGGGACAAAAAGCAATGTGACCGTTTATACACATAGTGCTCGAATACAGTAATAAAGCTTATATTGGCTCTCCGTGAGTTACCAACCCATTTGACTGTGGTTGTCGTGTTGTGCAAGTTCCTATAACGGTTTAGAAAATAATTTTCATGTGTGCGAACGCAGTGAGTTAAAATGAAAAGCTAATTGCCATAAGTCAACCAAAAATAACCTTCATTAGTACATACTCACAAATTAATGGTGCTTTCTGTGCATTCTGATTGGCTAGCTTGGGAGGTGAATAGCAAGTACTATTCACCTCTGAGCAAATGGAGAAAAGGTTAAAATGGCTTCCCATTTTACTTTGGCTACTGAGGAGCAAATTTTAACGGCTGATTATTCAACTTGTGTACATAGTATAAACCAAAATAATAATTGTTTTTTTTTACCTCTGTGTTGGTGAAAGTGGTGGTAATGAGTATGTAGTGTCGACCTACTGGAGAGGCCTATTATGGCTATAAGTTTAGTCTAGCTATTTGTAGCTGTCTATATCGATTTTTTCAGATGACAGTTAGCCTGCTGTTTAAATATATGTCAAGGTCAAGGATTGATGTTTGAAAAAATACACTACACTAATAGGAAAACAATCTTGTGTGATTGACATTTTCACTTCCCCCAAAATTACCTTTTTTAGGAATGAGTAAAAATTAGCACACTTAGCTTCTTTGTTATAGGATTCAGAATTTAGGTGTTTAGACTTACGATCAAATCCACACCTTTTGTGTACATTGTTAACATTGTACCAGAAACAAGATCTTCTATGGTGCTTTAATAATTTTTAGTTTATTGTTACTTGGACTTTTCATAGACTTTTAAGCTACTGTAATGCAACTTGGAATTTAACTACCAGTACATTTTGGATAGCTGTGTTCAGTACATTTAATTTGACTCGTACCTAAATTTGCTAATTAAAATACCAATATTGGCTATAGTTTCTTGTGACATATTTCCAAATCCCTAAATCCACCTTCACTCTTTATGAAGATGCCAGAGGCAACCAGTTCATCACAGTTACTATTGGCTACAGTTCCTTATGATATTTTTGCAGCCTTGAAATTGCTATTTCTTAGGTTGTCATTTCGAAGTATGGGGCCACGTACCATATTTCAAAACGACATTTAAATACCTATATTTCTTTAACTCAAAATCTTGAGTTACTGAGTTCCGTAGAAAAGAGAAATGTAGAAAAATCCATCGTTTACCATCTCTTCTTCAACCCACTTCTCCGATGCCATAATAGCTGCTAGTTGAAAGTAGCAAAGCTATGTAATAGTGTAGTTTGATCATTCAGGTGAGTGTAGTCCTGAGAAGGACTGTTGTCAGTAGTAGTGACTGATGTTTGTCAGTCGAATGTACTTAGTCCGGTTTGTGTACACAAATTGGTCAGTTTTGCTGTGATGTTATTGGCTGCAAGACTCAAGTGGCGTAGGTCAGTCGTGATTGATTGGTTTGGATCCGTTAGTGAAGTTAGGTCGTTCTTTTTGGTTCATTTGTAATGTTAATGTCGTGGTTGAGTCATTTTTATGGTGCCAGTAGTGGTTGACATCTGTTGAGGGGAGTCTCTTCCAAGTTAGTAAACCAGCTTTCCAGGGTCAGTCGTTGAAAGTAGTTGGTGGTTCGTAAGTCTGTGATGTTCACCAATGCGATTGTTGACATCGCCTTTCCTCGTCGCTCGTTTGTGTTCAGTCAGTCTAGTTGCAAGGTTTCTGCCAGTCTCACCGATGTAGGAGGCGTGGCAGTTGATCTTATATACTGCTCCTTGTCTGTTTCTCGGTTCATCTGTCTTTGATGTTAGTGAGTAACTGACGTAGTGTGGTGATAGGTTTGTGAGCGACGCGGATATTGAATGGTTGTAGGATGCATAAAATGGTCTCAGATATGCCCTTTATGTGTGGTATAGTGGCTGTGGTTGTAGGAGTTGCGTTGTCGTTAGCTTTGGTAGTAGTAGTAGGTCTGTGAGTGTTACGTTGGATGAAGTCTTCGTTGTAGTTATTCTTTAAAAGAATACGGTTAAGGTACTTGTTCTTGTCGGATAAGCTGTCTGTCGTATTACATACTAATTGTGCTCGTCGGGTAAGAGTCATGATTTCCCACCATCGTCCACCATGTTTATTTTCATAACATAATTTTTCCGAAGTCCAAAGTCGCATTGGAGTGAGGGTGTACGACGTCACGTCATTCTGAAATATGGAGATGATTGCTAACCGTTGTCAAAATCCAATGTTGTGTTAAAAGCAAGGAAGATAGCCCAGATATCCTGCTGAAGGGTAAATAATACTGTATTTAGTTTAATTCATTTGGTAAAAGAAATCCTCCTTAAAGTTTGAAGCTTATAGACTTGGAAGATGTGTTTTTAGAATCATATTTTGTTTAAATGTGTGTATTTTACTTGCAGTGCATGTTATTAGATACCAACATATTTCCAAAATGTTGGAATTGTTTATTCTAATGTATAAGTGCACACTGATATACATATGCATGTAAGTTGTTTTTATCACTGATTTTAAAAAAACGGTTTCCACAAATATCAAGGAGATTTTTCTATGTTGGAAAATAAACCTTGCTTTCCATCTTACTAACTAGTAATTTTCCATAGTTGGAAACTTCATTGTTGGTACATAATAAAAATTTACTTTTACCGATGTTGGCATATTATTTTGGTTTTACCAACATTAGATTGCTCTCTACCAACATTGGCAAATTATTTTGTTTCTGTTCCAAAGTTGGATTCCTCTATACCTATATTGGCATATTATTTTTGTTTTAACAACATTGCATTGCTCTACACTAATATCGGTATATTATTTTCTGTTTACCAATGTTGGATTCCTCCATACTGTTATTGGTATATTATTTTCCTTTTACCAACATTGGTTTCATCTATACCAATATTAGCATATTTTTTCACCAATGTTGGTTTCCTTTTTATCAATATTGGCATATTATCTTCTTTTACCCATGTTGGATCCCTCTTCACCAATATTGGTTTATTATTTATGTCTTGCCAATGTTGGGATATATAACACTTTACCAACATTGGTATGTCATTTACTTGTTCCAAAGATAAACCAAATATATGCCAATAAAAAACACACCATTTCCCAACATTGGAATCTTAAATTTTTTCCTGTGAATAGGAGAAAGCAAGAGCTCAATATCTGTCTTTACAGTGAGCATTTTAGTTACTGAGTTAGTGTCTATCGGAAAGATGGATAATTATTTACAAACAGCTAATTTAGCTTTAGAAGAGTGGTGTAAGTGTGGAGATTTACAGCAAGAGAAAGAGAGTCTGTTAAAGGAAATGAATAAGGCCAAAGAAAAGAAAGATGCAGAGATAGATAGTCTTAACAGAGAGCAATCAGTGTTGAGGCCAATCCTCAACAAGAGAACAATTTTGTTTTCCTAAGTCCATTCCATTCCATTTTTGTAATTATACTCCCAGCATGCTTAGTGAGCGCGTCTCAGTGTCGTCGTGTAGCGAGAAAGAAACCATGTGCTTTGTAATGCGCTAGTCGCTGGGAGTTTCTCATCGTATGGTTTTTATTTGCAAGGTGAAGCTTGTTAGCCAAAGATGAAACTCCAATTCCAATCCTGTTGTGTTGTTAAGAAAATATGCTGAGTGTGCAACTCTCGATTATTAAACCTTGTGTTCAAGAACCCTTGTGTTGTGAAGGCGCGTTCTTTGTCCCCTGCACAATCAGAATACATCCATCAAATAGCAGAATTAAATGAGACTAGCACACCAAATTATGGAAAACCAATGGAACAGCTATCTGAAAGGCAGAGGCTGAAAAGAATTAAAGAACTCAAAGGAAGCGCTGCATTGTGGTTCCTTGAGAGTCATGGTTTAAAATTAACTGTCTTAAAGTCAGGGAGTCTGATTCAAGGAGAGAACATACATTTGACTTTAGAAAAGGAGACAGTCACCCAAGAGGATTAAGAGAATTTAGAACAGCTTTTATTTTTGTTGGACAAATTTTGTGTCAGTGATGAGCTATACCATGAACTCATCATATTATACAATGCCTTACCAAGGTCATATTTAATCAAACAGAAGAGATCTGATCTCAACAAACTTTCTCACATTGAATGAGTTGAAAGTACCCAGGAGCACAGATATAATTTAAGGATACACTCCAGGGTCACATAAGGGAATATTTCTAGTGACAACCAGACCATCCACTGGAAGAGCCTATAAAGGTCAAAATAAGTGGTGATGGAGCCAAGATGTCCCGAACAACCAATTTTATGATTTTGTCCTTTTCCATTTTACAAACTGGGGACAGGGTGATGTCCTTTAAAGGGAACAGAACACTATGTATAGTAAATGGTCCAGAGAAATATGACACACTGAAAACATCCTTGGGCAATGTCATCAGTGATATAAACTGCATCATAAAAAATAGCAAAATAGAGGTTGATGTAAAAGAAGTCAAAATAGAGATGTTTTTAGGGGGGGACTACAAATTTTTGCTTATGACAGTGGGCCTCAAAGGGGCAACCTCTGATTATGCTTGTGTGTGGTGCAAGATTCATAAGATCCAAAGGTGGGACATGACCAAAGACCTGGACTTTCACAACTAAGGGGAATTAAAGAGGACCTTACAGAAAATCAGAGATTTTCATGGTTCAAAAAAGCTTTGCTGCATCCATCCCCCCTTTGACATTGAACTTGACCATGTTGTTCTGGAAGAACTTCATTTAATGAGGATCACTGACAGACTTACTGAGAACATAATCACTGAAGTCATGGAAAGGGACAGCTAAGCTGATTTATTGAAAAAAAAAGGGAGAGGACAAAGGAATTTACCTCAAAAGATTGATCAGTGTAATAAATGACCTTGGAATAACCTTTTTAGTGTGGGAAAAAACTAATGCAGATGGCAAAGGAAGTGGTTCATATGATTGGACCAGCCTAATGGGTTCAGACAAAAAGAAACTCCTTCATCAAGAGTCAAGAGATATCCTTTGGCCTGAGACAAAGGAAACTGTTGTGAAGCTATGGAGGGGTTTTGAATCTCTTTACCACTTGATTAATGCTGACCCTGAGGAAAATGAAAACCTTGTTCTTGATGTTTCAGAAAAATCAAAGGAATTTATTGAACTCTTTTGTTCCCTTGGAGGAACAAGAGTTGGGTACAACAAATTATGAGTTACCCCATACATGCATGCACTCTCCTACCATGTTCCAGTTTTCATCAAAAATCACAAAACCTTCAAGCAATTCCCAGGCCAGGGTGCTGAGAAAAACAATGATGATGCAAAAAGAATTTTTTTTCAAAAGCCAAATAAATGGAATGCAGCCAGGGATGTGCTGCAGTTAGAAGCGCAACAGCAAGCCTCCACACTGTGAAAGGGAAAAGAGAAAATATGAAAAAAACAATGAATACTGGTGTTGTGGAATTGTTGAGTCACATAAAAAAAAGAATGCATTCTAGGGATGGTGCAAGTGCAAGTGAACCTGAAAGTGAAGCATCTGTTGTAAACAGTGCTGAAGTACCAACTACAAATTATGAAAAAATGACGGTCAAACAACTTGTGCAAGAAATCAAATCATGAAATTTGCCAGTGAATGGAAAATCAAAATTAAAGAAAGGACAACTGATTGAGGTTTTAAAGAACAGTGATTGACTACTGTGGATAATATTCAAGTCACCTCAAAGAAAACGAATGAGTGAATTATTGTGAAGAGGAAAATGACTCTCCTTATTAAAAAAAATATATATATATTTATTCTTTTCAGTGATTAAGTATTCACATAACTAAAATATTTACATTAAGTGATTATATTCTGAGAGCAGGCTTTCCAGTTGATAAAAACAATAACTTTTTCAGAGGGAATAAGTGGTCCTTTTCTAAGGGAACCACCTTTATTTGCAATAAAAGGCTTTGAATGAAAAGCTAATGTTGTCTTTAATTTTAAAGGGAAATCAATAGCAACACCTTGGCCAAATTCATCAAAGTAATACCACCAAAAAGGAGGCAGACATAACCTACAAAAATTGTCCTTTTCATATAACATGTAATTGTGGGGGTCAATTGTAACCTAACTCCTAAAAATTTATCTCACTATGTCATGATCAACATTTATGCAGGCTGTGAAATTGATGTGGGTAGACTTGCACTTCAGTAGACCAAGTATGGCTTCCACAAATGTTGCAGCTGCTGTCTCCAATCTATAATCAGTTATATTTAGCAGTGCATAACTCCTGAAACAAAAAATACATTTCTTTACCATATTTAGACAGTGAAAGAAAATTAATTGTAAGTAACACATATGTGCCAAACACATCTTGGTAACAAAGCTCAGTTTTTGTCATAGGCAATAACAACAGTCCTTAAACCCCTTTAAAAAAATAATTCTTGAGATTGCATTTCAATACCTGGCTGATCACATGGGGCAATGCACTCTGATACATGAGGCACCCTATGAAATTTTTGTGATTGCAGTCGGGCTTTGTTACAAAGTCTTGGTCTTTGGAGTAACCGAGAAAGGTTTCAAATTTGTTATGATGAAAAGGCAAGGAAATTGCATTTATCCCTGAAGTGTCACTGCATTATTCTACAGAATCAAAATTAGAGAAGAAACACAATAGGGGAGCTGATATTGAGAAGCTGGTCACTTCACTTCACAAACCAAAAAATATTCTCTCCTGAAATTCTACTGCTCCTTTAGCACCTTGTACTCCTTATTACCACTGTTGTGCGTTTCAAAATTAGTTTACCTGACCGCATGAAAATTTAAGTGCTCAGCTGGCTCCCAGCTCCCTTTTTCTATCATTCATGGTCAAAACTGAATGCAAATGTTTGTTTTCATGAGAAATAAGTCTCAAAAACATAATTTAACACACCTTTTTTCCCTTCCTTTCACTGATCACTCTTTCAACTGTGTAGACCTTAGATTTTGTTTTTCTTTGTAGCTTCAGTGGCTCGCACAAAAGATCTGAACAACACGGCTCATTCAATATTTTGTAGTTTACTTTTGATCATGCTCGAGGTCTCACTGAAACAGAAGCTGCCATATTGAAAACTTGATACCAATGAGCATGTTGATTAGCCTTTGCCTGCAACCACATGCCCCCTTATTTGCGGGAGCAGAATGTCTCCAATTTCTGGTGATGCATGTGAAACAGACAGGGTTGCTCACTGAAAATATTGAGTTAAACCCCTAAAGGAGACCAATGTGGGCTTGGCTCAGATGTAAATACATAAAATGCGATACTTTTTTTTTCCCATTTCTTTATGTTCACCCTTAAGCCTAACCCTAAACCACCCTAAGCAAGACCAAACATCTGAAATTTACACTCCAAAGCAAGATGATGAACATCCCTGTCTATTTTAGATGGGGGTCCCCCTAGGCCCTTCACTCTGCAATTGGGGGTAAGTATGTAGAAATTATGGATAGTATTAGAATTTAATTTCAGCTCTAATTTACAGTCAGGTTTCCAGCAAAACATATGTTAATTACAATGTATGATAGAATATAACCAATTTGGTACATTTTATTGCAGCATCCACAGTGCCGATCCTTTGTGTGGATGAGGCATACTCTCTCCTGCAAAGACTAATGTATCAAGGGAAATCAACATCACAGACAAGCCTATTAATGGAACACCTGTGTAAATGTTATGAAGGAGACTTTTGGTATGCACTAAAAGGGAAAAAGGCAAGCAAGTTGGTGTAACTTCAACTAAACTAACCCTTCTTGCTTTCACCACCCCTCAGCAATTCCTGGAGTCAGTTTGGCCAAAACTTGTGGCCTCAAAAAATGGGCTGGCAGAGATGTTGCTGTTTTTTTATCAAAGAAGATCAGAAGATCTTAACCTGGAAGCCATGGCAGAAAACTCTGACTCCCTGAATGATTATTCTTTAAATCTCTTAGTGATGTATTTGAAAAGATATATGGGGAACATAATACAACCCAGAACTGAAGTACACATTGATTAGCACTGCCAAGGAACTTTTAGTCAAGTTCAGTAAGCCTAATGAAGATGACAGCCAGGGTGCAATTGTCAGGCCAAGTATTTCCTCAGCTTCAAAGAAATATAAAAACACTTTAGGTATTGCTTTAAATATGCCGGTCCTATACCACCAGCTAACCAAAGCACTTCCCTTGGAGTCAGGAACAACACCCACAATGATAACAGTAGAAACCATGCAAATGGCAATAACTTTCACCAACACCCTTGCGACCATTAAGGGAATCTCAGAGGTGGTGAGTTTAATATTCTCAGTTTTCAGTCACGTGACACATGCCTTGACAACTGTTACAGTCTGCCATCTTTCTGTACAGCTTTCCTTGACAACAAAGCAGTAGCGTTTGCCAGTTCTGAAGCTTTTTTTTGCGTTTTTATAATGTACTGTGTCTTATGGTCAATTGCCATGCTAGAAGTGGCCATGATAAAGATGTTAGGTTCTTTTCTATACCTTCTATCTGTAAAAATTAAGGTGAAATGGCTGAAGAACTATCCATAGAATGGAGAGGAAGACGGATTGCCACCATTAGTCAAGATAGAAAAGTAAAGTAAAGCCTTTATACAGGCCTCAATGGCCCATGGGGCTGGCGCTTAACTCTGGTTTCCTTAGCATGAAGCAGCTAAGAGTATTGCTACTCTGCGCTGGATGGGATGCTAATGCATTGCAGGGTTACCCCCAGCATACTTGCTGGTAGCCATTTGTACACCTGGGTGAAGAGAAGCCTGTGAGAGCAAAATGTCTTGCCTAAGAACACAACACAATGACCCTCGCCATTACTTACCATAAAGCCACCGCACCTCCACAGTCAAGATAGACTACCTGAAGAAATTTTGAAAAAATTTTGGCCAACAAAGAGATTTCAAAAGGGCCAAAAGAGCAAAGCTACAACACAAACATAAACACAACAAGGTTTTGAGAGACTCTCCCACTAAATAAGCCAAACTAGAAGAGCCTGGTGAAGTTGTTAAATAAATTTTTAATGAAAATCCAGAGGAACAAAATGAGCCAGAACAGTCTCATACAACATGATGTCGAAGAGTCCTCAACCATACAGCCTGATGTTGACATCATTTCAAACGAGTTAGAAAGTCTAACCCTTGATTCAAATATACAAACAAAAACTTGCAAATCAGGCACTCAGACAGAGTTACACTATCTTTTTCATAAATGCTTGAGTAAAGCGCCATTTGATGCTGATGATATGCAAAAAAACAATAAAGTATGGTTCTACACTGGCCTAGTTGAAGCTAGTATTCTTCAAATTCTGTTCAAGCACATATCTCCCTATGTTGTACACAAATCACAATCTTTGATGAAATTTCAAGAGTTGGTCATGGTATTGATTAAACTGAGGCTCAATGTCCCATTTCAAGACTTGGCATATCACTTTGGTGTTTCTGTTTTAACATTCTCGAGAACATTTACTTCATGGATCAGGGTCATGGATAGTTGCCTTTCAAGGCTGATTTACTGGCCAGAACAAAAGGAATTGTGGAACACTATGCCAAAACGTTTTCTGTTTTTGTTTGGGAATAGAACTGTCATTACTGACTGTTTTGAAATATTCATTGAGCATCCTACCGACCTTCTAGCGAGAGCACAAACATTCTAATTGTATTAACACCACAATACCATCAAAGCACTCATTGGAATCACTCCACAAGCTAATAAACATGATGATACTAATACATCATAATAATGAATAATGTTTTTACATAATTGATATGATTATGTCTACTATAGTCCTGTCCTACATTTTCTATTTAGTCCTCCTCTCCCACTCTCACTTTCTTTCTATAAATCTATCTCTCCAATTTGAATCTTAATGTTTATCATATTGTTTTATTCAAGTTACCATATCATTCTTGTCAAACACTTGGGGTGGTAGAACATCAGACAAGTTCTTGACTAAAAATTGTGTATTGATGGACAAACTAGTAGCAGGAGATATGGTCATGGCAGACAGGGGTTTTGCAATCCAAGAAAGTGTTTCCTCTAGAAGAGCAGAGTTAGTAATACCTGCATTCACTGTAGGCAAAGCCCAGCCTGACCCAATCAATGTTGAAAGAACAAGAGGTATTGCAAATGTACACATTCATGTTGAAAGGGTGATTGGTGTATTACGCAGGAAATATACTATTTTAGATGGAACACTGACAACAGATTTTTTGATTAACAATCCTAAATCACCAATGCCATTACCTGATCAAATTCTTAAAATATCTGCTGCTCTTGTAAACATGTGTCCTCCAATTATACCATTTGATTAGACTTTTCATGTATAGTATATTACAAAATTTACACATAGAGAGTGCTTAACTTAACTCATTCATGAAAGAAAAAATGATAGTAGATATCAAATACTTCAGTTGAGACACAGAGGAAGACAAATATAGAAACAAAATTTGCTGGTATCTAATAATCCTTTTAACATTATCATGGGTTAAGTGCAATCAGTCTACTACAAAAATTGTTGAGCCTATTGTTTACTATGTTTGCATGTCATATCCAACTTGTGGTTATCTGTGTGGAATTTTCAAGTTTCATTAGAATTACTACTAGTTGATGTTTAGTATATCTCATAAAAAAGGTGTATATCTGTTATTCGTAAGGTTCCTCAAGTTGTTTTATACCAGCCTTAATAAACTAAAAAAAAAAACTAGGAGATTAAGAAATATAGATTGAAATCACACCTTAACAGTCACTAATAATTTTGTATTCTGTATGTCTGTTGATGTTTGACTATTATACCTTGACAACTTGTTTCTGGGTTTAAATGTTTAAAGCAGGTTGTTTTATTGGTAAATCTCATCCTAATGAATATAAACATTAGATTATTTATATATATTTACACTTCTCCTGATAGTATGCTTGCATTCATACATTTAATGCGAGCACTCAATCTTACAATATTATTAAATCTATATCAATGTCATTATTAAAATCCTTTCAAAAACTTGGAAACATTGTGATCATTTCATTTTTTAAGCACTGAGGTAGAAGTGCATCTTTTGAATGTCATATACAAGGCAGGTCACAAACCCTGTAGCAAAAATGCCACAGTCACTTCTGTTTTTCTGTTGCTGCACAGGTTTATTGATAATAACAATAAAGCTGTCAGCCATCAAACTCTGAACTTGGTCTTTTACTTCTATTTCAATAGCACAGTGATGAAGACTGTCAAACAAACTGACCATATCTCCCAATTGAACTTACCCATACCCTGTGACAATTTCCTCTCTTTTAAATTTGTACAAATTCCATGGTAACAATGTCAAAGTTTATTGGACCAAGTGTTGTCCTTTAAAAACCTTCAATCTAGGGATTCACCCTTTGTAGACACAGTTGAGCCTGTTGAATGATGGTACAGTCTAACCAACCATTTCGACACACTATAATATCCAAGCGATTTTCTTTTTGATTACCTAAAGGTACCTTTTTGTCAGTGAATCCTTGAGTGACTTCTGTTATTTAAACTTCATCATCACTGGAGTCATCACTTTCAATGTTTTTGGGGCAATGTTTGCTTTACTAAGTGACTGTGGTGGAGGTAAGTTAAAAGAAGAACAGGTGGTAGCTGGGGTCTTTGCTGTTTGCTGAGAGGTTTGTGAAGGACCCTGGACTGCTGGTTGGTATGTTCTACTAACTTTACAGTTCCTGCACATCCATATGGTTCGATTGTTGTTAAGAACCCTTCTGTAATTCAAGCAACGAAGATGAAAGAATCGACCATTTTTAAAGTCACTGTTGTGACACTTAAGAAGATTGTCTGTCATATTAATTTTGCTTTCTTGCCAAAAATACATACACTTTTAAGTTTCATTGCTTCATCATTATATGAACTGCTATCACAAGCCTTTTTTGCCTGTTTTTGTCTGGAAATGTGGTAACAAATGACAGCTTGGACAATACCTTGTTTTTGGTATTGGATCTGACATCCTTAAACAAGAGAAGTGAAACTTCTTAATCACACAGATGTGATTACTGCAGTCAAGTGCGAGTACATCAGACAACTGTCTGCAATAACAAATACTATTTGGGTCAGTTGAGGGAACATTAGGCATATATTGTTTTCTTGTATACCATCTAGACATCAGCTCAGGTAAAATGCATGTTCTCTGCATCTTTGTTATTTTTGGTACAACAACCTCCCAGTGGCCTGGATCTGGCATAATTCTCTCTATTAAAAAATATGAGTCCAGTGTCTAAGGATGCACACACTATAACATCACAATGTTGTTGTCCAGTTATTAGGAGTTGTTGATGTGTTTGATAGTAGTACGGGTGATTCCTCTTTAATTGTTTGATACCATCAATCATTTCTAAACAAGATGATTTCTTTTGTACATAGCTTTTAAAGTCCCCATCTTTTAACCCATATAGACATTTAACTTCTCCATAACATGCACAAGATGACAAAAAGTCTGGAGTAGCATGCATCCAAGGTCTGTTCTTGTCAATGAACATTCCACATTTGGTTACTTTAATCTGTGCGCTTCCAGAAATTGCAGTGGTGTAAGCATCAATTGCCTTAGCCTCATTTTTGCACACATACTTTGTGGCCTTGGTTGTCACTTTCAATAGTTGACGGTAACAAATAGATTTCACAAGAGATGACTTTGATGATTTCACACAGAATGACTTTGTGAAGCTCCAATCTGGCCAGCTCTATAAGTAACAAAAACCAGATGTTTGTGCCTGATTTCGAGTGTCTTCTTCAATTACATTCAGCTCACGATTAGATAAAATTAAGTCAATTTCTGAGCATTTCATAAACAGGTCGATATAGTTTAATTTGTGGTTTCCTGGATCAAACAAATCAGTCACTGTGGGGATTCAGCGACTTTTCATTATAAAACTATCAGCATATGGCCCAAAGGACCCAACTTTCTCAAGTGACCCAACTGGCCCAAGTGACCCAACTGGCCCAAGTGACCTAAAAGACCCAACTGATCCAAATGACTCAACTGGCCCAAATGACACAACTGATCCAAATGATCCAACTGAACTGAATGACCCAAGCGACTCAACCGGCCCAAATGACCCAAATGATCCAAAAGATCCAACCGGCCAAATTAACCCAAACAGCCTGACCATCGACCAATGCCGGCATTTTATTATCAAAGCATTCATTATTTACCAAATTATCAAGCTGTCATGCTATCACTCAATTTACCAATTTCATTAACCGGTACACCAGGACATATTTTTGTTAACCAATATACCAGGATGTAGCCAAAAAGGTGGGAAACTTGGTCAAAAACAGTCTTTTCTGAAAAGGAATTGTCAAAAAAGATATCAAAATTCAAGGGAATCCAAAAGCAGAAGAAAGTTCCTGTGGATGTAGCAAGGAATTCTGCTACAGAAATCAAGTTTGTCAGTGATGATGTTTTGAGCGAACAAATTCCACCTTCCGCTGCTTCGGCATGAGTTAGAAAACTTGCTGTCAAATGCACAGAAACTCTTTTCCAATGAAAGTATGGATCTGAAAGGTGAAATACCAGAAGGATACCAGCATGTGTTCATGAATAGTTTTCTTGTGTTGTTATCACTCATTTATTCTTTATTTTTAGTGTTGTAAATCATCTAGAACTTCGAGAAATAAGCACAAGTCAATTTGACCTTGGCAGCAGCTTATATGCTATTTGTGATGATTGTGGTCTGTCGGAATTTCTGGCCACTGGTGACCATCATTCCTCAGATGATGCCCCCTGAACTGTACAGGGAAAAAGTTTAAATCACAGGGTGGTTTATGCTGCCAGTGAAATGGGAATTGGCAGAGAAGATGTTTCCAAGTTTTGTGAAATATTGAATATGGCTTTTTCCTTGAGCAAAGATAACTAGCACAGTCATGAGGATGCCTTGCTTCAAGCTCATTCTGAAGTTGTCCAGGCTGAACTGAAGAAAAACAAGAAGGAAGCAAGGAAGCTGGCAATGATAGAAGAAGGGATCAGTGCAGGGGAAGAGGACATTGTGATAAACATCCCAGTCTGTTTTGATGGCACATAGTCCAATGGAGGATACACTGCCAACCATGGAATTGGTTTTGTCATCTCAACTGCTGCTGGAAAGGTTTTGGATTATGAAGTCATTTCAAAGGTATGCAACACTTGCATATTAAAAAAATCATCTTTAGATGAACATGACTGAACAGTGGGCTGAAGACCATAGCTGTCTGGGTAGTTTTGAGGGCTTAACTCCTAGCATGAAAATGGAATCTGCCAAGGATTTGTGGGGTAGGATTCAGGACTACTCCATCTGATACAAATTTATGATTTCTGATGGAGCCTCAGTCTTATAGTGTTATTTGAAACTACTATGGGGCATGTGACACTTGTAACCAATATGAATCTTTAGAGTCAACAAGTGAAGAATTCAAAACTTGGAAGGCATCTGAAGATTATGTCAAGTGGGAAATAAACATCTTGATGGATCTGTGGATTGGGATAGAATAATCAAACTTGAGTGTATTGGACATGTCCAGAAGAGGCTTGGAAAGGCTCCATATGAATTTCAAAGAACTGCTTCAAAACTAGAGGATGGTAAGCCTGTGAAAGGAAGACAGGGTCAATTAACAAAAACAGCAATCGAGAAAATGAGACGCTCTTAGGGGAAAGCTATTTGAAAAAAACCCAACAGAGACATTAACTCTGTAGAAGAGCAAGATGACGCTGTCCAGATCATGCAAACTGAAATTATGGCTACCTTGTACCATTGCTTGAAGTTACCAAATAAAGACACAAGTACTGCTCAAACAATTCTTGGTGCAGGTACAAGAAGAAAATTCCTTGCCCCAATGAGCCTCACTACTTAGATACCGTGTTTGAGAAGTATTTACTTCCTTTTTATGAGAGGCTCAGTGATCTTGCCATTCTTTCATGCTGTCTTCCTGGGTTTACTAAAATGGTAATTGAGTCTATCAATTCATTAGTGTAGATTAGATGCCCAAAATACAAATGGCATGGAAGGAAAAGAATTCTGTTGGCAACAGCATCAGCTACCCTTCAATTTAGTGTAGGGGCAATAGCAAAGCACGAGGTAATGGCAAGGGCTGGGCTTGCTGTTGGGGGCCATACCAGAAAAGAGAGCACCAGAAAAATATTACAATTTTTTTAATTCCTAGTAATCACCAGTAATCTCTCAATTCTTCTTTCAGAATATCATCATACTGAATGAAGTGAGAGATGATCACTCATCACTCCATCTTGGATATGACAATGAAATTATTGTAGAATTCCGGCATGAATATCACAATATGCACTCATTGAAACGAAAGGTTACAGGATTTTGGCCTATGGATAATTCTATCAAGAACAATTGAGGGATATCAGACAAAAACTAAATGGATCTAACAGATCACTAGGGTTACAGAGCAATCTGGCATTCCATTTGACTGGAATGTTACATACATGTTCCTCTACCAATTATTGCTTCATTCTTTCAAGAACTCAATTCAGGTGTTGTCAAAGACAACAACAGAGGCTCACAAGAAGAAGGTATTCCAGTTATGGCCTTCACTTTTGCTTGCATGTGGATGGTCGGTTTTTTTAAGCTTCACTGTAAGAAGTATTTCAATTAGTTATATTGGTTACTCTGGGTC